TGACCAAAATATTACTTTTTAAAATTCGATGAACAAAAATAAACACTTATGAAACCAATGTGACCATTGTGGTAATTCACCCTTAAATTATTGAGAAAGTGAGAAGCTGTCGACTCATTTGATTAGGTTTTAGTTTGGTACGCATAAAACGAATGGGGAACAGTGAAATAATCACCAAACCTCTGTTTAAGCTTTCATTACCAGCGGTAAAAACCGTTAACGGATCCAGATTTTGCAGAGAAGCAAAATCATAAACAAGTGATTCACTTGAGGTTGAAAACTTTTTAAATATCCATTGAATTGCCTACAAGGCCTATACCATGTAACCTCTAGGTTTAGTTTTGTATATGTATATTCTAGTCGTGCATGGCGTGCCGTAAGTAATGGGAATATTTAAAGGCGTTTAGGAATCATGGACCCCAATGTGTTTGAAAAGCTGGACGCCGCCCACACCGATTCCTTGATGAATTCCTGTCATGAAATTAATTACTAATATGCTTCTTAATAGCTACATAATCTTCACCTATCCAACTTGTTCTATACATCCAAATACCAAGTCATGCATGGCTTAGTCTTAAAGATTAGGTGACCTGCCGGTGTCACTGTGTTTTTGGGGTCTATATATATGTTGCCCTAATGACTAATGCTCCCACCACCCTTTCATCTAAACGCCTCTGCTCTTTCTATCTTGTTCTGGTTTATAATTTGTCTGATATAGCAGAATGGCTGCTTCTTCTTCTTCATTTGGTGTTGTGTGCATGTTTGTTGTGGTGATTTCGATGTTGGGGGCACTACGTATGCTGATCTCTCCACAAATTTCTACTCGAAATCGTGTCCGAAGGTGTTCACTGCGGTTGAGTCGGTAGTTGAATCAGCAGTGTCGAAAGAGCCCCGTATGGGTGCCTCACTCGTCCGCTTGTTCTTCCATGACTGTTTTGTCAATGTATTTTACTCTGTTTTTAAAACCCTTTTCCTTCTATACACATGCACATGCATATATCATGGTCATTTTAATAATGGAGTTTCACGTTGAAAAATATCCATCTTGGATATAGTCAAAAGTTCAACCCCCATGCATATATCTTATTTCACTGTGTTAGTTAGCAAGCATCGGCTGCTAAATACCTTTCAAACCATGCATGCATTTCCATTGGTGGACTCAACAACTACAAGTTTTATTTTACTGATTAAGTGTATGTTTGATGTATAATTATGACAGGGATGTGATGGGTCACTACTCCTCGACGACACTTCTTCTTTCACGGGGGAGAAAACCGCGGCTCCCAATAATAATTCGGTGAGAGGATTCGAGGTCGTCGATGCCATTAAGGCACAGGTGGAGAAAGTTTGTCCTGGTGTAGTCTCTTGCGCTGATATCTTAGCCCTTGCAGCTCGGGACTCCGTTGTTATTGTAAGTAATTCAATGAAAAGAGTCAAAACCTTGAAAACAAAATGATAGATCACAAGAAATAAACTTGAATTTCATCGGTGCAGCTCGGAGGGCCCGACTGGGACGTTAAGCTCGGAAGAAGGGACTCAAAGACCGCCAGCTTCTCCGCTGCAAATAGCGGTGTCATCCCACCTCCGACTGCCACCCTCGGCCAACTCATCAATAGATTCAATGCACGAGGCCTTTCTGCCAAGGACATGGTTGCATTATCTGGTACAATATTCTTCCTAGGGTAAATTACTATTTAATTATCCACTTATTCTCAGGTTCGGTTTTAATTACTCAATTATTTGTTTCTTCAAAACCTTACCTAATGTTACGTTTTAGTAACTCGATTATTTATTTCTTAAAAATCATATTTAATGTGACAATTTTTAATTTTTTTCAACGATGATGTAGCATTATCTTATTTGTCTGCATAACTTTTAACTTTTTAATGGTGGATAATTATAATAGAACCAAAACGTAAAGGTGTGATTTTGAGAAGAAAAATAGTTGAGTTACCAAAACAAAACCGTGAAAATAGGTGGATGAGTGAATATGTAGATTACCCTTCTTTCTATCTACAGAAAAAAATTCCTTGTCGTCCTCTCCTGAGATTTACTTGTTAGTTAAATTGCTTAATGTTCACGGTGCTGCCGGCAGGGGCTCACACGATCGGGAAGGCAAGGTGCGTGCTCTTTAGAAATCGGATATACAACGAAACGAACATCGATGGCTCATTTGCGAAGATAAGACAAAGTAGCTGCCCGAGAACCAGCGGATCAGGGGACAACAACCTTGCACCACTAGACGTGGAAACCCAGAATTCTTTTGACTTGAAATACTTCATAAACCTCTTAAACAAAAAGGGTCTGCTCCACTCGGACCAGATACTCTTCAATGGCGGATCCACCGATTCGTTGGTTAAAACATACAGCAGCAACGTGAAGACATTTTATTCGGACTTCGTTACTGCGATGATAAAGATGGGAGATATTACGCCGCTCACCGGATCTAATGGTGAGATCAGGAAGAATTGCAGGAGGCCTAATTAACCATTTGTATCGTCGTCGTAGCCTCGTAGGTAGGGAAGCTAGAAGAAAAAGCTCTACTTACCAGCAAAAGAAAGAACAATTATTCCACCAAAATAAAGCATGGTAATGTGTGTTCGAATTCCTAAAGGAACACTGTCGTGCGTGTATTTTGATGAAAATTAATGGAATATTTTCCTTTTCAACTTAGCAATGCAAATCTTACCTAATAAACTTAAATCTTACCAGATCTTAAGCACAATGGTTGATAGGTTGTGTATATTCTCCTTAGATATTCAAACACGAAAAGCAGTGTTGCTTTCTCTTTTTTCTTTATATTATATACTCCTATACCATTGAAGGAGTAAGTTGAAAATAAACAAGTGCCATCCCTAGTGGTCAGAGGCTGACCTAAAGTGGGTGGGACTGGGACATCCTATCTGGTAATGTTTTTGAACCTCAGGAGCATCTCCTACAATGTATGCAGGAAGAACTTTCTTTTCTTTGGATTATGTTAATTTATGCATGATGTTTTTGTAGGCTGCATTTGTTTTTCTGTTTCAAATAAAGGTAGTTTATAATCTTATTTGCAAAAAGGAAATAGTATTAACCTTTATTCCTAAATAAGAGTAATGTACAAATTCCATGTCACCCTCCTTCAATTATCTCCATTTCTAACTCCCAAAAACTTTAGAAAGTCTGCATTGACTTTCATTATTTTCTTTTTCCAAATAAATCAACATTAGTTAGGGGATCAGTTAGCAGTTTCTATAAATAAAATAAGTTATGGAAAAAAAATTCTGAAAACAAAGCAACTTAAAACACTTTTATTGTGGTGACTTTTTTATATATAAAAAAAAAGAACTTAAGCTTAGCAAGAAAATACTTTTTTTTATTAATAGAGAAAATAACCGATTAATACAACAGCCCAGAATCTAAAATTGAACACCAGAACACTGCATAACCGCTCCTGCATTCAAGTTTCAACACCAAAAACAAAACAGATTACATAACAGAACTCTCACAGTTCAAGAAACCTACTGACAATATCAGTAAATACGTAAACATCATATAACCTGAAACATATGCTACCATGCCTTGAGCATCCTGCCATTCATCTGTTGTTTGCCCCATTAAAAATAGCATTTTCTTGCTAAGCTTAAAAGAAAAACAAAGTCACGAAAAATGAATGTTCTTTAAGTTGTTTTGCTTCCACATTTTTTATTCTTTACTTTCTCACTATATTTTTATTTATAGAAACTATTCATTCATCCTTAACCATTTTTTATTTATTTGGCTATAGATAATAATGAAAGAGAGCCAAATATCTTGCTCGATACTGGAAAACTTTGGAGTTCTTAGATAAGATGAGATGCAAAGCTCCATGGCCTGCTTGAAGCTTTACATGCTACAGGGAAACTAAATCTCCTTTCTGTATGCATCTGAAGAAAGACAATTGATTCCTCAGAAAGTCAGACTATTGCAAGCTCCATATTACTAAAGTCTAAACGCTTGGTAAAGGGAACATATGAAAAGCTCCATATTGCTAAAGTCAGACTATTGCAAGCTCCGAATGGAGCACTCTTAGACTTTCTGAAGTTTCTAGAATTAGAGGAGGTGATGATTGAAGGAGAAGAGTGACATGGAGTTTAAATTGTACTACATTACCCTTTTTAGGAATAAAGCTATTTTTTAAAATAAGATTATAAACTACCATCATACTCTCACGGTGATCTCAACCATTCATGTAAAGTTACATAATTTATTGCTTATGTGGATAATCTTGGAAAGTGCTGCACCTAACACTACAAAAATGCGAACAAAATTTGTTGCTATTTTTTGTGTTTCTGCTGCCTAAATAGTTGCATTATCTTTAGATGAACTCTGTACGAGATAAATATTTTAAGCATTTTTATATATATAGCTAAAGAATTACTCACTTTGCGCAGTTAGGCAGGTGCCAATTGAAGTCCCCTGCTTCTTCTGATAAGGTTTTCTTTCTTTCAAAGAATCCTGCAATTTCATCTGATCATTTGATAACGAAGGAAACTACGTCGTTGGGTATTTCTCGTTTCTCTGGTGACCAGGTACCATAAGTCCAATTTCTATTTGGAAAATCAATATGACAAACCATTTATGTATGCTGATGGCAGTGGGTCATTTTCTTTTCAGAAGCAAGCAAAGCTCTGAAGGCAGGTACATTAAAAAAATACAATTGCAGATGATAATTGACCATCTCATATTTGATTTGTATTAACAAATTTTAGGGGCGGTGTATGATTAAAGTGATCAATGTTAAGGAATTCGTAAATATAATAAATCAAATATAGTCAATTTAATACCATTGCTATAGTACCCACTAGAAGGATAAAGAGTTCAAACGCATTTAAAGAATTGGAGAGATTATGTCCAGTGAAATTGACACAAGTAGCAAAATCACCATGTTGAGCTTATTATTATTATTATTATAGAGAGAATCATTTTTGTGAAATACCTTTCTCCCCATTCAGTACATACAAGTGTCAAATAAAACTTAGGGTAAGGAAAAAGAAGCAATAAAACTTAGGGTAAGGAAAAAGAAGCAACCAAGATCAAACACCTTTATCACTAATCCTACTACACTCTTCAATAACATAAAAGGCCTTCAAAAATGAGCTTCCTAAACAACAGCCTCTACATTTCAATGCAAACATTCAAAAGACGAACTTTTCTTCATCTGCTCCGACTGATGCTGGTTCCTCTCCCATCCCTTTGGCAGCTTCAGCCACTGAATCACTTATGTCAAGCAGATATTGCAAACGGGACAACTTTTCAGGCTCAGGATTACATCGTGCATATACATCGAAAAGATCAGCTACCTCCTCTGGAACATCCCATGATAGTGGCTCCGATGGCACAGCCTTGTCACAAGCTAGCAAGTCATTAAGTGAGGAAACCTACAAAACCAGCAACAAAGCACTTTGAATTTAGGAATTAATTGACCTTAGTACGAATACAAGTATGTTGACAACAAAAACTATCATACAGAAACCAAGCTTTTCAATGTTCCTTACCACTCCCAGTCGGTTTCTCTGCCGTAGTAGCGCCACAGCTTGAATAAGTGAATTGGACAACCTAGTCCGTGCAAGATCATGAACAACTCCTTTTGCCTTTTGAGGATTGACCTTGAGATCTGCTGGGATCTTCTCATACACTTCTTCCTCGTCAAACTCTCCGGTGCCTGATGAGAAAATCTCATCTACAGTTTTCTTGAAGAGGTTTTCTCGCAAACTCTCCGAGATCATGTTGTCTAAATCAACACCTGATTCCTTAAGTTCCCTTATCTGCTTAATGTTGAGTCTCCCTTGACCAATGGCTGTTTCAAGGGCAGCTGCCATTTTGGTAGTTGTTATGCTCTTTATTATTTTTTGTGCATATTCTCCAGGCAAGCCAACACTCTTCTGCAGCTCAGTGAGCTGCTCAATCCTAGCCTTTGTTAACTGTCCATCAGCTAAAATCACCTCAGCTTGTTGCTTAAAAGCCTGCTCCGCCAAACTTCGATGGACATTCACTGTCTCCTCACTAGTCAACCCAAGGATCCCACCAAGCTGGTTTAGTAGAACATACTCTGAATCATCCTTCTTTGTGGTTATTTGAGCACCAAAAGGAATCCTGGTGACTTCTCCTGTCAGACAATATAACAAGTATGTCTTGTACAGGTCCATACGGTCTCTTTCGGAGAGGTCATCTTTGAGTGTTATCTCTGTTTGGCCTGGCTTGCCCAACTTTTCCATAAGTTCCTTGTTAGGTCTTATTTTCCTAAGTGTCTGAAGCGATTCCCATTCATCCTCTTCATCATTTTGTTTTACTTCCTCTTTAACAGGTTCCTCCGATGGAGCATCGGAAGATTCCCCTTTGATGTCTGCCACCAATTCCGTGACAACCAAGGTGTTAAAGGCAATCATCTTCTTCAGTTCTTTTGCAGACTCTGTACGATTATCAGCTGATCGAGACCGTTTCACATAATTCAAGAAAACCTTACGGACCTGGGCACATATATGATAATTTCAAGCAGAGAGAAAGATGTAAAACCTAAAGCTGAAATTTAACAAAATGAAAACAACCATTGACACAATAATCATAGTGTGTACTCACAGCCTTGCTGGCAATTGACATGGCCGCTTCTCTAGTTAATCGCAAACCACGTGCAGCTTTCCTCACAGCATTCTTGACATCAGCATCATAGCCATCAACACCAGAAGAAATAGCATCTTTCACAGCCTGAAGCAATAATTCACAATTAGAAGACAATGGGGGACTGCAATAAGACAAATAATCACGTGTTTTGGTTCCAATAATCCACATGAGATTTTTCATTTTTCCCAGTTTTCCATATCAATACGACAGTCAAAAAGACTTCAAAAATTTTACTGGGGCATAATGATTACAGATGTGCTGACGCACCAATAGTTCCAGTTTTCATTCAACCTCCAGGACTAGAGATACAGTTCAGCTGATGAGATGCCAATGCAATACTAAGAGCATGTATTTATTCCATTTTCAAGGGTAGAATATAAAACACTAATCGTTCAGGGCAAATCCTGAGAAATTTAGAATTATAACAATGAATACCTAGGCCGAGACAATTTTACCTTCTCAAACAAACTGCCACAGATATCTGAGTGAGCAGCATCAACAGTTTGCTGAGGAATGCAGAGCGAGACTCGCACCTTCAGCAACGCAGCAACATCACTATCATCCAGCTCCCCATCAGCTACACATTGTTGAAGCTTTTTCCGGTATATTTCTTGAAACAAAATAAACATTTCAGACACTTTTAAAATAATATTTCAATGGGTGTGGAAATTTGCAAATGAAAAAGAATCCCTATGGGAAAAGATGATGTGCAGCAAACACAACGTTAGCAACTTATCCCTGTCAATTAGCAACATAGTTTCACCTCAAGATTCATGGATTTGGAAAGGAGTTGTGAACAATTATTTGAAAAATGATGATATTGGAGGATGTTTGAGGTCTCATACTAGGACTCAATTGGGAAATGGCAAGTCTATTTCATTCTGGAATGATGTTTGGGTCAATGACTCGCCCTTGAAAATTCAATTTCCCAGGATCTTTGCATTATCAAATAATAAAAGGGGTAAGGTGGCTGATTTTGGTAGCTTTGATTAAAATGGTTGGGTGTGGAATGTTCAAATTAGAAGGAACTTATGTGAATGGGAATTGAACCAATGGGTCGAATTAATGTCAACACTAAATTGTTTTGATGTAACTGATTCAATGGAGGACTTCCTTTCTTGGTTTGGGAAGGGGATGGTCTGTTCTTGGTTTGGGAAGGGGGATGGTCTGTTCTTGGAGAAATCCTGCAGGTTGGCACTAACAAATAATCCTGGAGTTTGGAGTTTGCTTTTACTGGAAAAAATGGGTTTGGTCAGGTTTGGCTCCTCCAAGAGTAGAAACCTTTCTTTGGCAAGTCTCACACCAAAAATTGGCAGTCAAAATGGAGCTGAAGAAAAGGGGTTCCTTTGAAAGACGTTCAATGACTTTGTCAAAAGAACGAAGAAACAGTCCAGCATCTTTTCATCACTTGTTCAGTTGCAGGGGATCTTTGGAACAGATTTTTCAGGTTGTGGGACATATATACAGCTTTGCCTCATGATCCACATATTTTGCTAAGTTCATGGTCTGAATTAAGGGCTAATTCACACATATGGAAATTCATCCCGGGAGTAGTTCTTTGGTCTATTTGGAAAGCAAGGAATTTTTTTTATAGAAATAAGGCCTCATTAAAAACCCCCTTCATAACTATTAAGTTTTGTAGAACTCCATAGTCATTGGAAATGGGAAAAGAGTGCCCAGAATTTTATTGCCAAACATAAGAAATACAACCAAAACCAAACATAAACAATACAAAGACATCCATTACAACAACCCACCAACCCCATTCTCACCAATCCACAAACCTGACCTCTCACTATCCTATTCCTGATTTAGCTAAACAATCAGCTTCCCCATTAATACATCTGTTAACATGCCTAGTAATAACATTAAAATTCAGCACAGTCTTCTAAATATCTCTGACCAAATCAACATAGCGAACCGGGCAAAGATTCGGGTTGTTGATCCACTTCAAAGCAAGAGAGGAATCACTCTCTAAAATGAGAATTCCCTTATCCCTTCAAACCGATTCAAAAAACAATTCTAACCCTGCTTGGATCGCAAAAATCTCTGCAAGAATCGAAGGGAAAGGTCTTGTCGCTCTAGAGAAGAAACCCAACCTCTTATTATCATCATCCCTTAGGACTCCTCCAATACCATTGCTTCTCCAGTCAAAACTAACAACCCCATCAACATTCATCTTAAAATAACCCGATGGTGGAGGACACCACTTTAACTTAGACAAACCAATCTTAGTAGGGGAACGATGCACATCCGCCAAGGTTAAGTCACCCACAAGGCTATCAACCTGTATAGAGAATTCACTGTTTTTAGCCAAGAACCATGAAGCCACCCTATACCTCACCAAAAAGAATAGATTAGTTTTATCCATCTTGCCATTCTCGAACACTATCTGATTCATGCAATTCCAGACAGTCCACAAAATGGCACCCAGCAAAAATTTCCAAATAACCGAATTAGGCCTTAACTCCAACCATGAAAGCAAAAACCCTTTAGGATTATTGGGCAGTACTGAAAATACATTCCACAAATGAAGGAATTTCACCTAAATCTCCCAAACCAGTTTACAAGAAAAGAACAAGTGACTCACCGATTCAGACTCCAATCCATAGAACGTGCATTTTGAATCCTCAATATCTTTCACACCTCTGCTCAGTAAAACAGCCTTGTCAACCAACTTCTGGTGGATAATTTGCCAAAGAAATACCTCAACTTTAGGAGGAACTAACCCCCTCCACACAATCTCAGACCAAGAAACATCTGGCTCAAATAAGCTTGAAATTAATCTAATGCATGAATGAACCGAAAACACTCCATTCCCATTTCTTTTCCAAGCATAACAATCTTCACCCTTCAACAAAAGGCGAAATTCCTCCTTAGCTGAAAATCCCACACCCACTCTCCATTACTAATACACCCAAAATCTGCAACAACCCCATCCTTGAAAATTCAGTCTTCAACGGTAAGTTACAATACAAATCCATCTGTCATGCCAAAACCTAATTGAATCTCCCTTTCCCACCTGCAACATTAGATGATTTCAAAAACATAACCCAAATGTTTCATTCAACCGATAGTTATTTAGAACTCCTTTCCAAATCCAAGATGCACTAGGAGGCAAATTATCATCCAAAACAATAGATCTCCTATCAACATTATACTTACAACAGGTCATTTTCTTCCACCAAGAATCCTTCTCACTTCCAAACCCTTTTTCCCAAGAGAGCTATTCCTCAACTTTAGGTCCGAGATACCCAAACCCCCAAATTCTTTATTCAATTGTTTTTGATAATATGAGTCTTGAAATATCCTCTCTCTTCTTCATAATCAAATTTAGGTTGGCTAAATGGTTTCTAGCTAAGTTCCCCCATGTTCAAATTCAAGTTGATTTGTTGGTAGGGGATCTCTCTCTTGTAGACAGGCTTCTTTGTCGGCATGTTCACAAAAGTTTGATACAAAGCTGACATCCTCCCCCAGTAGATTTTTACAAATTTAATGTTGATGGGGCTGTTAAGTATGATGGGATGGCTGGTGGAATTGGAGGTATTTTGAGAGATTGTAACAGCTTCACTTTGTCGACTTTCTCTGTTATTGTTGGTCCTGGCCCTCCTCCTTTGGCTGAGTTGAAAGCTATTAAAAAAGGCATTGACATTTTTCTATCATCGGATTGGGCTTTGAAAGGAAGACTGATTTTAGAGAGTGACTGCAAATCTGCAATAGATTGGATTTTGTTGCCTAATTCTGCTCCTACTTTTTTCAGTTCCCTTGTTTTGGATATTGTGTCCTTGGTATTAGAGAGGGCGGTTATTATTAGATTGATACCTAGGGGTTGTAATTGGGAGGCTGATAAATTAGCTAAGGAGGGGATCGGTTGATTGTAAGGGTATTTTTCTACGAAGCTTTAATGGTTTTTGTTTAATCTGCTTCCCTAAGTGTATTGGTGTATTTTAATGTACTAGTTTTCTATATAATAAATTGAGGCACTCTTTTCCTCCTTCCGCTAGTTGCTCTTTTTTAGAGTCAACTAAGAGGGAGGTTTTTAATAAGGCCTACTATTCCTATCAAAAAATATATATTTCAAGGTTGAAAACAGAAGAAAAAAAATACTCTAATAGGGAAGATAAAAGTCTCAGACTTTTCTTTTTCCCAACCCTGCTTATAATACCTTCATGGATCTCACTAGCCTTTTGAGGATCAAAGTGCAATTCTTCACAAAGATTTTGGAGGAATGCAGCCTTGCTATCTGCCATCTCTAGGTCACCGCTCTGAAAGGCCCCTGAAAGTCGTTTTTGATATACTTTTGACGTGACATCAAGCATGATAGCTTCTGCTTCTTTTTTACCCAAACCAAGTATGTTCCTCAATTGGTTCAATGCAGTTAGCTAAAGTTTGAACACAGAAAACAAAAAGAAACAAGCATTAGGCAACTAAAAGACAATTTGAGGTGAATTACAAAGATAATGCATCAAAACCTAGTAAACCAAGAAAAAGAATATTGAAAAAACGAATTCTATGAGAAATGGTTTTAATTGATGAAACAAACTCTCCCTGTTGCTGTTGAGAAAACAATGAGACTAATCAGCTAGTTTATCACCAATAAGTTTAATGTTTCCACGTATTCATGATTCATACGCTGAATCAACAAAAAGGAGACCGGACTGAGTTCCCATAAAATTAACAGTTATGTAAGGGCAATAAGAAAAGCCTCCAAAGTTCAATGCTCTTAGGTTTTGTCAAGAGGTGGGATTAGAGAAGATTAAAGGACTCAACCAGATCAACAGCAGGAAAAGGAGCAAATGTTCTATAAATGGATCTTAATGGTTCTTTGATTTCATGTGCTATAAGAATGAGAAACAAATAATTCAGAGTAATATCCTGGATATTTTAAACTTGACCAGAACCTTAATCTTTTCCATACTACCAAAAACTCAGAAGGTTCGAAGTTACAAAAAGAAATAATCATACCTGTTCAACTGCTATAGTAAAAAGAAAAGCTTATAGAATTTACACCTAAGCGTACATAGATAGAACAATTCCAGCACAAGCATCAACTACTTAACAGTTGCATAAAATAACAATTCAGATTTACTGTTTCAGCCTCCTTTACACCATTATCCAAGACAACCCAGCTTGATATTCTTTTTCATAACATGATACGGATCATTTCCTTTAAGAAATATTACATGGATTCAATCTTCTTCTATCAATAAGATAAGTTGGAGAAAAACAAAACTACACTGGATGAAACGTATAAGGATTTTTCTGAACGAGTGATAGTGTTTCTGCCAATAGGATTAGCTTAAAATAAAATTTAGATGTAATTCTTCACAAAAGGTAACAACTGCTATATAAAGGAATTTGGATGTTCATCGAACCTCTCAGCTATTAAGACCCACCATGATCAAAATGAACAAGAATATAGAAAGAAGGAATTCAATTACCTTATGATTTTCCATGCGACCACCAGATAAAGAATCTGTTACATAAGCTCTGTAAAGAAGCTTCAAGTCATCCATCTTCCTGTCACTATCATACTCACCACCTGAACCAGTCACAAATAATGCTAGTTAGTGGTTTTGTAATAGAGATGCTCAAACCACAACTATCATAAACATTAATCATAAATACTTCGTAAAAGGAAAACAGGTTTGCGCACCCATTTTATACAAAGGCAGGCAGAATTTCACAGTTGACTCAATTTTATTATATGCCTAAATATAAAATAAAATAAAAGCGAAGTACAAATGACAAGGTCTAAATCGTGCATCTAATCAAAGGACCAGGGAGCATACCAACTAGAGAGACAGGATCAAGCCCACGGGCAAAACGATCAGCATCTGGATGTTTACTCAAGGAGGTAAGCAAATCATTGAATGACAATATCTTGTCAAGTTCTTCCACGGCTTGCTTGACTCCCCCACTGAAAACCTTATTTCATTAGTTGAGCTAACGGTACCAAAGCAAAAATTTTAAATATTAGCAGTAAGGAGAGAACATTAATAATCAGAAGCCGATGCAGAAGTATATGACGACATTTAAGCATTTTCATTAAGGAAAACTTTCTGATTGAAAAGATATAAACAGCATTAAGTCTAGGTATTTATAACCGTACGCAGTTCTTCCCCTAGACTTCAGTCCTTGCAGTGCCACAAAAATATTTTCTTCGACTAGCTTTCTTTTGTGCTCGATTAACAGATCCTTGGCAAGCTACAAATAGGAGAACAACTATATTAAGAACAATTATACACCAATGCCAAAAATTGTGAAGAATGTACCTCATCGGAAAGTTTGTATTTCAGTTGTGCTTCTCTAAGGGAGACAAGCAGTTCCTCATCAACATCTGAAAATAAATATTTCAAACCATATTAACATTAACAGTATTAATTGGTAATCATACAACCCTCTCAAATTCTAAAATGGTCAAATATAAAATACAACGCAGAAGGAACATCCATGTGTTACCTCTTCCAACTGAAGCTAACTTGGAAGCATACAATTGCTTGGCATTGTCACGGATAGCAATCTCAACCTGGAGGCACAAATTGTACAGATGGAGCTATTACCAATTTTTACGAAAAGCGTGATTTTATTATCAGATTTTCAAAATTTGAACTAGCACGGTGGCATTCACGATGCCAAAAAAGGGAATAGAAAAAATTAATATTAGGAGAGTATAACAAAATATGAGCAATGAAATCCGGGAAAATAATGATTAGAACTGATAAGTACCTGAGAATCAGTGACCTTAAAAACACGCTTCCAAGGCAAAAGAAAAGATGATGCATCTCCAAAAACTAGAGTTGAAACATAAATCAGCTTCTGAAATGCCTGTACTGGAAAGGAACTAGAAGTGGTCAAACGCCATTGCATCCTCCTAAGTTTCTAATTCATAATTTACAATGCTTAGAATGACAAGTGACTGACCCGCCGCTGCTCTAAATCACCATCACGATCTTCAGCCTCAAGCCTAAACCTAAAGATTTGCCTACCAATCTAGCAAGCAATATAATAAAAACAATTTTGAAATATTCGTCAAACACAAACATATACACAGAGTGAACAACACAAAATTACCTCCATATGCACGGAAGCTGCATCAGGGTCGTCAATTCCCAACGCATTTTTGAAACTAATTATGGTTTCAACTTCATCGCCTCTAAGATTTTCACCTCCAGAGGGCAGGACCGATGATAGAAACCTGTAAACGTTAATGATTAAGAACCAAGCCTTGCAAAAGAATCCTTTGTCTAAATAAGGGAACTGATTAAATAGTATCAAACGTACCGAGAGTAGATATCACAAAGCTCCATGTTAAATGCCTCATCCTGCTTGCTCACTCCGTATCTGAATTATTGTAAACATTGAAAAAGACTAACAGTGAAATTGGTGAAAACAAAACAGACTTGCACCATCTTTTCAACTTAATCACAACAATAATTGGGTAATATTCAAAAGACGTACTTTTTGGCAATATTTTCAATATCCTCTCTCTTGATAGCCTCGGGGCCATCACAGGCAGCTACATAATTATGCAAAGTAACAGCCGCGACTTCCGGAACAACGGCGTTCACAGCATAGGCAGCGGCTCCACCAGCCGCGCCGAGAATGGCTGCTCCACCTAAGGCAGCATTCCGATTACCACCGAATCGAAGGCCGAGACCGTATCCAGCGGCTAGAGCTCCGGCGAGGATGACAGCAGAAGTGGCTAGTCTGACAGGCGGTGACAAATTCTGAACCAAGGGTTGGATGCCAGTAAGCTCCTTGGTGTCTCCGAAAATGTTTGGTTTTTCTGTTTCAGAAGAGGAAATGGATGGATGGGATTGTTCATGGGCAGAGAGGGAGTTGCGGGGGAAAGAGACCCTGAAACGGCGTCGTGAGGAGGGGAGGGGATTGGGGGTGAAAGGGAATAAGAGAAGAGGGCGAGGGTGAGAGGAAGAAGTAGGAGAGACGAGGAGAGAGGGATTCATGGGCTCCCTCGGCGGCTTTCAGGGTGTAGGGTTTAACGGAAAGGAGGAACAAAAAGGAAGTAGCCGACTGAAAATGGATAGGGGGGATGAGAAAGATAAGAGCTTAAAGATATACAACCCGACAAAATTCCAAGCCCTCTACTCCGTCTTCACCTCTTACCGTCTTCACCTTATACCGTCTTCACCTTATACCTTAACCTTATGTACCCGATGCATGGTTCATTTTAGAGTAAATTATAAGGCTAAACTACAAAAATAGTGGCTTTCGTTTGAGATTTAAAATTTGTTTCTCATTTAATTCAAAATAACATAAGATTTAATTAATTTCGTTTCGTTTTAATTAAAAATGTGGTCATTGAAGGTTAAAATTGTATCATTTCCTTGTACATAATATGTGGATTAAGTTTTTGTCACTTTTTTTCATATTTGTATACTTTTGGTCACTTATGTTATTGTTTTATTAAGTTTTGATCACTTACATTGTCATTTTATTAAGTTTTGATCACTTAGACATTGAATGTTTTTAGTTTGATAACGTGACCTACTAGTAAAATGGTTTAAATTTTATTTTAACCCCTAAACTTTAGATAAAATATTAATTATGAGTTTTTTGTAATTTTAAATTAGTTAGGGATAACATTTCTATTTACCCATTTTTTAGTATTTTCTTCCCAACCCCCAAAATTGCTCGTCTTCTCTCTGCTTCTTCTTCAAACATCTCTACTGCATTGCAATAGCCTTCTTATTTGTAATTATTAGTTGTAGTTATTTGAAGTCAAATTAGGTGAATTCTTAGTTGTAAGAAAAGGTATAGAAAGAAGTAATGAAGATCGTGAAAAAATGTAGAGAAATTCTCATTAAAACTCTGAAAAGATTCACCACCACGGAAATGCCACAACCTTGAGTCAAGAAAACTAGAGTTTCTTCAATGGCGGTGTTGTTGATAACGCAATACTAGGTTTCTATCTCCGACACATTGTTGACCAACAAATCCCTGTGATGCGAAAAATTGTTAAGAACGTTCGTCGCATCTGAACGTGATCAACCTCCACGGCATTTACGAGAATCAAACTTGTTGGGATTGAATCGTCGATGAAGCTCAAATTGATCAATCGAAAGATTTTTGTCAAGAGGGGTTGAAGTGGATTTGAGAAAAATTAGGTAGTAATGAGATTTAAAGATAAGGAAAATAATGCACTAAGAGTTATAGTGGTTTGACTTTCTCAACCAAAGTCTACATCCACTACCTTAGCTCCTCACCAAGGATTTTCTAACAAATTCACTAATTTATTCTTTTTTTTTTTTTTTTGCATTAAAGAGATAACCTTTATACTCCCTAGCTTTTCACAGGCTAAGCTAGAACCAATCCCCTTTTACAGGGTAAAAAGAATGTAAACAAGAAAACCTCACAAGGTAGGGTGTTTACAATATTTAAGCTCGCAAAAACAAAACCTAAGGATATACAATTAAGCTCAAACACAAATTTTTTATATGTTGAAATTTTTATACAAGAAAAAGAAAACTAAAGATTGAAAAGTTCTTCTCTTGAGTTTAATTGCTTGGATAGGTGTTCTAACCCTTCTTCAAGTGTCCTCAACTTATTTTTATATGTTGGTTTGAGCTTATGGTCGTTTCTAGCCATTGGGATGATTTGGAGCCGTTGGGGATTAATTCTCTGTAAAATAAAACTGCCCGGGATAGGGAGTACCGGTACTCCTTTCATGAGTATTGGTATTTCCTTTGTTATTTTTAAATAAACTAGTCGTTACTAGCCGTTGGGCCTGACCAGTATCGATATTATGCTCATGGTATCGATACTACTATGTAAAGTAGTATCGGAACTCCTTTGAGTATCGGTACCTATTTTGCATTCTAGAATTTGAGTCGTTTGGAAAACGCTGGTAGTATCGATACTACCTAGAGAGTATCGATATTTCTCTTACCTTTGGTATCGGTACTACATGAACGGTATCGGTACTATTCATGCAGTATCGATACTACGTACCCTGAAAAATAGTTTTGTGATCAAATTCTAGTTTAATGGACTTTGAATTATTTTTGAAAACTTTGAACAAATTCAATTAGTCCAAAAAACATTTTACCTTAATTTGTTATATCAAAATATTATAAAACATGGTTCAACAAAACTGGTGTTCACTTAGTATTGGTATGACCAAAAATAGTTGCATCCGAAAGTGTAGGGGTTAAAATAAAATTTATATCATTTTAATAACGACATTCAACGTCGAGTGATCAAAACTTAATAAAATGATAAAGTGACTAAAACTTAATAAAACAATAGCATAAGTGACCAAAAAAGTGTACAAATGTGAAAGGAAAGTTACCAAAACTTAATTCATGTATTATCTACATGGAAATGATGTGATTTTAATTTTACATATTTATCGTGTCACATCAACAAACTATTAAAGGTTTAACGGCCTTCAGGGACGAAGCTCCCTTAAGGCCTAAGGGGACCCGACCCTATTAAAATTTGTATATTCGATATAATTTTGGTTTAATAATATTTTGGTTCATGTAAAAATAAATATTTAAATTTAAAAAAAATAAAAAAAATATTAAATATTTAATCAAGTAGCGGTCGAACTAAAGAATGATAAGTACGTGTTCTCAAATTTTTAGTATAATTACAATTTAGATCATTGTAAGTTTAAATATTAGACAAATTAGAAGTTGTCTTGTGAATTTTGAGTTTTTTATTATAAATTTAAGGTGAATACAAGGTAGTATATGTACAAAGACTTTCAACGTATTTGACAATGAACGCTCATACCCCTACATACGCAGTTCTTGAACTCGGGACCTCAATGATAACAATAATCCCCTTAATCACTAAGGTCGCTTGTTCATGCTGAATTTCGAGTTTAAATACTTAATAAGTCTTTATATTTTTATTAAATAGTCTAATATTTCGGCCCCTGTCAATATTTAATTTTGGCTCCATCCCTTACGCCGTTAACCTTTAGTGACCACATCTTAATTAAAACGAAATGAAAATGATCAAATCTTATATTTTTTTAATTCAATGAGGAGAAGTTTATAAAACTCAAACGAAAGTAAGTATTTATGTAGTTTACCCAAGATAATTATGATCATTTAATTATAGTATTTTTTATTAGGGTAAACTACTTGAATGACCGCCCAACTATGGGATTGGTATCAAAATGACCACCATTTTCAAAATTGCGTTAATATGACCAGTGAACTATTTAATTGGATTCAATATAGCCACCCGGCGTTAGTATTTAACGGACGAGCTTACGTGACATATAACAAAATATATATATTAAATATTTGATCCTCAATACTTGTATATTCAATCAATTTGGTTTTCCCTTGATCTAAGGTTCAAATCCCCCTAACACCAATATTTGTGGCTTTCTTTGGAATTTAATTTATTAAATAAAATTAAAAGTAGGAACAAATTGATTGAATGTACAAATATTGAGGATCATATATGTAATTATATAAATTTCGTTAACCACCACGTAAGCACTTCAGTTAAATACTAACGTCGGGTGGCTATATTGAACCCAATTAAATAGTTTAGTGGTCATATTGATGCAATTTTGAAAATGATGGTCATTTTTTATACCAACCCATAGTTGGGTGTCATTCAAGTAGTTTACCCTTTTATTATTATTATTTTAATTTTATAAATCAAATTATTTAAACGATGTAAATTAAATTATTTATACATAACATTTAACAAAAATATTAACGTGGCAATTAATAAAATTAATATAATTATACATTTATTTCTCAATAGTTACACATTCTATGAGACTTAATTATAATTTAATTCAATAAATTTAATCTTATAATCATATAGTGATATGTGTCACCAATTTATTAGAATATTTTTATAATTTAAATTTATTTAATTTAATATATCATTCCCTCAATTATACCATATGATTAGAACTTTAGAAGAAAAACTAGTTTTTAGGGAAGAGAAAAAATCGATTAAAATTGACTCGAAAAGACTTTGTAATACACACAAAATTTGACTAATGACTAAAATACAAAATTTGAAAGTTTAGTAGCTAAAGTATAAATTTAGGAAAATTTTAGGACCAAGATAGTAATTTTTCCAAAAAGAAATTTTATTCCATAAAGAAATTGTTTATCCCAAGAATAGATTCTCTATGAAAGTCATATTTCGATCCAGAATTTTTGTAAAAAACTATTAAGCGATAAAATATTTGGATAATCGGATCGAATAGGAAGTTTACAAAAATTTGAAGGATAGTAGTATGGGGTTAGAAATATTATATTTATATTTATAATCAATATAATTTAATACGGATTAGTGGAATTAAGTGGATTTTCCATGTTAAAGTGGAATAGTGGAATTTAAGTGACTAAATTGAAAGTTTGGAAAACTGAAAGAGCAAAAATGGAAACAAATAAATATGATTTTTATATTTATTTATTGTTAAGAAAATGTTGATAAAATGATGGCATGGAGGTAAAAATTAAGATTCATTAAGGGCAGATTTGAATTTTGGGACTAAAATAAGTGTATATAGATATTTTGGGAGAAAACTAAGGAAATCTTCTTCTTTCCCTTTAACTTGAGTTCCATTGAAAATAGGGCAAGGTATGTTTTCTTCATTTTCTTCATTTTAGTTCCTTTTCATTTGATTTTTGGATTAAATTATGAAATAGAAAAATGATCCATGTCAAATTCTCTATCATTTGGTGATAATATTTCATTGTTTCCATGCTTGAATCATTGATTTGATTGTTAGAGTGGATTATGAGTAAGTTGGATTTTATTGATTTAAGGATAGATTTTTGTGTTATTAATATTATAGAGTTGTTTTCAAGTTTGAGTAATCATTATAATCATTTAGAAATGTTTAAAGATGAACTTTGGTTAAGGTTAGGGTTTATTGTAAATATTAAATTTTGATTTTTTTTATACGGAATTGATTGAGATTGCATGAAAATGATGGTACGAACTTGAATTCATGCATATGGGTTCATTTGATAAGCTCATTTGATAAGCTAATAGAACTAGTGAATAAGCTAATGATGCAAATTAGTGAAATATGTCTAAATTGGTAATCTGAGCAGTAAATTTATAAAATCACCATAAATTCTACAAGAATGATTAGAAGATGATTTT